ATAGCGTGCGATTATCAAATGCCACAAAAATTTCATCAAAGTCTGATAATGCCAAATAATCGCTGTTTCCCTTAGCTCGGAGAATACAGTCATTCCATACGAATACTTGCTAGATAGAGGAGATTATGAACCAAATAAAACTGAAGCTTAAATGCTTCAAAAGTTCTTGCTGAACGCCTGATTACAGCGATAAACATTACTGCTCCGAGTTGTATAAGACTGTTAGGGTTTTGTTCATCTGGAACATCTGCTTCTGTAGGAAATAGATTCCACTGCACACGTTCTACACTAATATTCTGATCGTTTTCGTAAATACGAAAAATTCCGTCAACCTCCTTCGTAATGCTGTTGACATAAAAATAAAATTTTGTTGCGCCATTCGCAATCCACGTCTGTAAATTACTAATTATGCGAATCTGAAATAAGTAACAGAAAGAACTATGAAGGACAGTAAGGGAAGAAAACGACAGCTGAAGAACTGCCTTCATTGGCCTTTGCTAATTTTGAAGTGTCAGGGAAACTTCTGGCGGAAGTCAGTCGAAAACGAAATTTAAGGCATCAGACGCCGGACTCTACACTGTTCTTTTGTTCTGCGATTTATAAGCATTCTGACTTTGGCAGACAGACGAGCAAATTTCAGCTTGGAAAAACTTGGAAGTGGCCTCAGTGGACTAAGGGAAGTGGTGAAATAAATTCGGAATAATGAAAACAATGGTATCTCACCTCCTCTTAAAAAAGTGGTGAAAGCAGATTAGATGGTTGAAGTTTACCTCAAAAAAAAGTGGAAGACTGGCCCATTCTGCATAAAACCAGACTGGACCTGTACAAACAGCCAATCTGTGCGGTTTCTTCTCTCGCTGCACTACCCTCAGGTCAATGACATTCAACACTTCTCTCCTCCCTGGATCAGTTTTGAGGAAGACGTATAGCTTCAACGTTCCGTTCAAAATCATAGACGTTGGAATAGGTGTTATGTAATCGGCAGTTCCATATTTTCCCTCATATGTGCACCTAATAAATTATGAATTATAATCCTAGGTGGTTTCAATCTGGTCTGATTCTGAGATATTTCTACATTATGAAAGAACTATCTTTTGTGTAACCAGCCATTATTCTTACGCAGTATTACACTAAATGCTGAAACAAGAAAAGAGAACCAGAGTTCTACCAGAGGCGATTAAAACAGCATAAAAATAGCTTCAGTTCTCAGAGTGCAGACCTAAGAAGCAAAAAATCAAACAACTTCCAAACGCTTATTTCTGTAGGTCGTCTGTCATGTACAGTAGCAGAAATCTTCCCTAATCTTGAGTAACGTACGAAAGTTCTCGAAACCACTTCTGTCGCTTACAAAATTAATGTTCAACAATTACCTGTATTAAAATAACTGTATCAAATTTATGACCTACAGCTTGTTATAAACTTCTTCACATTTTTGGAACTGAGAAAGCTTCAAAGGAATTGCCCTGTGGCCTTCGATTTGAACCAATAATTTTGGAAGGTAATAGCAGTCTGTTAGCAACGGTATTTTTATTTGACGGTCTGTCACCAGATACGCGCCCAGAAAGTAAATCTGAAAT